TATATATACTCCCATGTCACATGGGTGCCTCTCTATTGGATATTGGAGAAGTTTTTGTTGAGATGTGATATGACTGGAGTTTTTGTTGTGATGTGATATGACTATTAACTCGTCAGTTATGAATATAGGGTTTTAACAGACGGAGCATGAAGGAAACCTCGCCATATGTTGATATATTAAGGTAAATCCCTAAAGATATGCATGTTGAGGCTTTATATGCCTTAAAGCCCAAGAGTACTATAACTTGGGGAATATTTGGACTTGGCCTAATCCATGTCCATATCTACCGTTAGTTAAGGTATGTCTTGACTGACACCTTGGAACTTCATGTATTCGAATTGAGTTGAGACTCTCAGGGACCCATGTTTGATGCATCATATACCTCACCGTAAAGGTTCATGACAATCGGAGGTGGTTTAACCCATAATCTGCATATCCCAAGCCTTAAAAGCTTTATGCTATGTGCGTTATAGCCAAGATGACACCCAGTCACTAAATGGAGATTTCTCTTTCAATATGTGGAATTTTATCATGAGACTCAGACCATTGGATTCCTGACTCACTGGTTTATTACTCTTAAAAGGTGTGGCAATGATTGATTTGTATAGTGGAAGTGGTTGCATCCGCAATCCACTAATATTGCTGTGTAATTTTTAGCAAAAGCACAGTAAATTGGACGAACCATATCTATCTCATTTGAGATCCATTTGAGGTGATCTCTGCGTCCTCTCTAATATCACCAAATTTCATGTTCAAAGGATTTTCCATTTGAAAGAGGTTGCACCTGGAATCTACTGGCCTTGCTGATGCAATTTCTAGCAAAAGTAGGTTAACTTCGACGGACGAGATCTCTCTCATCCATAATCCATTTAAAGTGCAACTTGAATCGTTGTGTTCATGTCGGAGTCCTATTTCATCGTTCCAAATTTCATGATAAATAGATCTACCATCTGAAAGCGATTGAAGAAATATGAAGACATGTCGAAACTATGCTACAGAAGCTTAACTTACACTCGATAAGAGATAACAGAATCCCTGAATTTGCTCACATGATGACTCCATTAATTCTGAATTCAAATTGGTGATAAGCATTGATTGAGATGTGTGATTTATCATTAGTAGATACTCTCAGAGCATTTGAAATACATAATTATCACTTTGAAGACTGGATTAAGAAGATGAAGATGTACAATCAAAGGATATGCGAGGATCACACTTTTCGTACTTATCACTTCACAATTATAAGGATGCAAATTAGTTGATGGATAAGGATTGAAGATTTCATAGTTAACAAATCTATATAAATCTCTTTCCTTGATGAAGAGGGGGTTCGATTCCTTTAGATTGAGAGGATTGAATCAACGTGATAGGGTGAGAGAGACATAGAGAGTGATTGTTTCACCAGAACCAGTCTCTTTTATGACTGGTTTTTGAGCCATATTTGATACAGAGAGAGATATTATAGTTTTTCATGCCCACGTGAAGCCCGATCTCAAAGAAGAACAGGTCATACCACAACAAGCTCCGTTATATAGGCCTATATACCCATGATATTATTTCTATTTATATATGACTGCATATATTCTTTCCTAGAATCTAATGTATAAGTTTTAAGGCTTGAATCAAGGGTATTCGGCCCAAGTCAAGTTGATATAAATTGTAACAGAGGATTAAACCTCTGGAACTTGTCTGTTCCTAATATAAGATATTGAAAAACTTGTGTATCTATGATATAGAATGCACTAGCGAATTTGGCCTTGAATGTGTTGTCTTTTGGTCTTTGTTTGGAGTCTAATGTTTGCTTAAACATTTCAATCGATATAAGCCATCACATTTTCGGAGTATCCAGCTGAATAAATGGCTTTTCATGTGAAATCTCGAACGTCTATCCAGTTTAACAAAAACAACTAGAACCTTCACTTTAAGCAGCAACTTTAATGTCCAAGATGCATTCTTCTCTCTCTAAAGTTTTTCAGTTGAATGAGAGAAAAAACTGATCATTTTTTATTTAAATTATAAAGAACTTTATCAAACCGAAGAAAGCCATTTCTAGAAGTACAAATCAACTAATTGGGTTATTATTCGGTCTTTAATATTATAAAGGCAAACTTGAGGTAAATTGGTCTTTCATATCTACAAGAACTATTATATATGAAAATAGGTGTCATCTATATATCAAACGTGAGATGGTTTGTGACCAGCTGCCGATCAAGGGCTTTATCTCAGCCTGGGATTTTAGTTTGGATGCTAAATAAAGAGTAACAAAACAGTTACGGTTGGACAAAGCATCATCCTATCAGCACTGGTTCTCTCTCTCTCTTCACATAAAAGCAACACCGCCTCTCTCTCTTCACAGAAATTCAACCAGCAACCCTCTCCTGCACCATAAACTCACCACGGGCTCTCTCTCCACCACCGATTCTCTATTCCCACCGCATTCACACTGTTAAAGACAACCATTCAGGTATGTGATTCTAGAACCTACAATATATATACAGATGTTTTCTCAATAGATGTATAGAGCAAAAAGAGAATAATTTTTAGGGTTTCCTCTCTCTAAAACTATTTTATCTTACTTTGACAAATAGTACTATATATTTGAAAATAACAAAATGATGGGTCAATGCTTGTATCTCAGAGTTGAGGTAAGTTGCTATGTTTATTAATGTAGATATTTTACCCTACTTTTTTCTTTTTTTGGAACAGCTGACTCTGACATTAGGGATTAATTGCAAATCATTTTTTCAGCATTTTCCCTTATGATTATGGATAATGGAATTTTGTTTAGTGTTTGCATGTGAAATCTCAAAGTGAAACTATGGATTTTTCATTTCACCTTTTCGTGAATTTTTTATTATACAAAATTAGTAGCAACATGTTGAGGTTTCCAATTTTATAGCAAGTCGTAAATTGATTCCTCTGAAATTAGGGATTATGCAAAATCGACAATAACATATTGATATAGCAAGCCCTCAATTGTTTCCTTTGAAATTAATGATTAATATCGAATTTACATTTTTAAATGTGGTTTGCTCTGAGATTGAGATATTATGTGAAACTATGTTGAGGATTGTGAAGAAAGGAATTTTTTTAATGCTCTTATGCAGTTTTACTGAATTTGCATTTTAAATATGGTTTGCTCTGAGATTGAGATGTTATGTGATATTATGTTGAGGATTGTGAAGAAGGAAATTTTTTTTAATGCTCTTATACAGTTTTCTGATGCTCAATAAATGGATTTCTCAGGTGCAATATACAACATTTTTTCAGTTTCAAAAAAAAATCTAGAATCTTTTTCATTTTGAGCTGCAACTTTGTTGTCCAATAAGTGTTCTCTCTCTGAAGATTTCTAACTAAACGAGAAAAAAAACTGATCATTTTTATTTAAATTATGAAAAGCTTCATCAGAACTGAAGAAAGCCATTTCTAGAAGTACAAAAGGGCTAACTGAGTTACTATACGATCTTTAATATTAAAAAGGCAAAGCTGAGGTAAATTCCTCTTTTTTTATTTACAAAAACTATTATATATGAAAATAGGTATATTAGATATTATATCTCACAACAAAAATTAGATCTTAGAATTTTTAGTATAAATTTTTATTGAGCCACTACTTGAAAGGAGAAAAAAGTTACAGACCCAGAACATGCTGATCAAGTACAGACTTCATAAAATCACAAAGGTAAAAGCAGAGCTGAGGTAAGCTGCTCTTTTTTGGTCCATAGGAAGTAATTTTTTTTTGAACTCTTGATCATTTGTATTCTTATTATATTTCATAACATATTTAAGTAAGGGTGCAGTGTGCATACGGATGCATCCGTAGGTGTAGAGGTAAGGTGCAGCTTCAAATTTTATCATAGTATGTAATTTTGATGTAAAATGTTCTTAGGATTATCTCAAAATCTATTTTTATATTTTATTATAAAATTTTAAATTTTAAAAATGGTTAAAATCAAGTAGATCTATAAACATGTGAAAATCTTGAAAATGGATGGTGTAGATAATATGTTGTAAAATGCACTATTTCTGAGGCTTAAAAACTTTTTATTTTTCATGGTCATACATCTCGATGTCAAGATGATCAATCAAAGGGTTTTTCAACATTAAAACAAACTTTTCCGATGGATTTTTTAGGTGCATTCGTAGCTGTAGAGGTAAGGTTGCAACCATATATAAACTTTTTCCTTTTAAGTAATGTTTTAGATTTCTTTACTATGACTCTAAATCATTGGATTAGTAGATGCTTTAGTGCATTAAGTAGGTTACTTGATAGCTTCACGGTTGCTGAAGTGAGAAACATGTTGATAACTTCACATAGGCTTGATGAGATTAAAGGCTGTAGAACTTCAACATTGCAGACAACATTTTTTTATGAAATTTATAGAATGTATTTTTTTTATCTATAATGGTTGTTATTATCTTCAGTATTATTTTAGTATCTTATTCCAATATTCTGGAGCCACAAATATTGACATAAATGAGTGAGTTCAAGTAAAGAGAACAAAGAAAGACAATGTTTTAAATTCAGAGTCAAATCAAATGCTTTTAATCCTGTTGTTCATATATAAGCACACAAAGAGAGGTTAAACCGTAAGAGTAGCCTTATGCTGAACTGAATGGAGAAACATGCATGTCATTTGCCTTGTATCTAGGATTTATGGTTTCCATGCACAATGCAATGCTAAGGTTACACAATTTCACATCAATTTTGAAGTAGGTGTTTTCAATGAGAAACTTGCGTTTCAAACCAAGTATAGATTTCATTATGTTGTCAACCTACTGGTTGTACATGCATATTATTATCAATTAATGTGTTTAACACTGCTTCATCATGTTTTATTTTTCTTTATCCATGTGTTTATATTACCGCATTGTTTACATTTCTTATTACAAATGTAGCCTATGCAAGAGCTGTTGCAAAAGAAACTGATGTTCTTGAGTCAAAGGATTCATCGTTGGATGTGTCATTTGAAGAATTGCTTATTGATTTTGTCTCAACTATCGATGGACTTTCACTAGCTGAAGCACCTGCGTTTAAGATGACTCCTGGAGAAGCACCTGCCAATGTTGCGGTTAGCATCACCAAACTTGGCGGTTCATCCACTTTTATTCGGAAGGTACTTCTTAAAGCATAGAAGTAACAAAGCAAGTCCTGAATTGACCGCTCTGAAATTAGAGAATAATTTGAAATTTGTATATTTTTATAGTGATCTGCTATGAAAATGGGATGTTGCTTGATTGATCATTCCCTATTTTTTGGAATTATACATACTCTCTCTCGTGCATTACCCAAACAATAATGTGACTAGCTCTATATGTACGTTTTCCATATGTAACTCCAGATGAATATCTGCAACAAAATGTGATTTGTTTAAACCCACATTTCTTGACATTATGGTTACAATTTAGGTTAACATGAGCTTTTTATCACATATGCAACTTTCTATGAGTTTGTTATTACATTAAACTTTCTTAAATTGTAATCTGCTTAAATTGACATCTTATGGTCATTCTATAATGGAAAATACGTACGGTGATTTCAGAACCTTCTCATTTGATTGCTTATATGATTATGAAAAAATATATACATTGATTTGTCTTATTATTATTGATCACTTATTATATCATGCCAATGTTTAGATGTATCAACCCTCATTTTTCAATTCATAATCCTAAAAACGATCAATACTATAACCATAGTCAATTATTTTCATCATCTCCTCCTAATTACTAATACATTTTTATTTTGTATCCACAGGAAAACTAGGTCATCAAAATTGCCCATCACCGATAAGGACAACTCTGAAACAAGATGCCTAACATGGATATCAATCTCCTTCACCGTCTGTAGCTCATCTATTATCATATATATATAGTTATTAGTACCCATTTCTGTCACTCTTCTAATGTTCACCAATGCCATGTAAAATATTTCGCTTCTTCTAACTATTGTATCTTACACACCCTTCGCCTTGCATAATACGATATCGTCCTATTAAATTGGGTCTATTTCATAGTTAGCACATTTCCAAACACGTGCAAAGCACGTGCAACTTACTAGTAAAAAATAAATTGGTGCTAGATTGGCTAGTTCCTACCGGGAACCTCACAGTCCTAAAACTGATTGATAATTTTTGAAACATTCGATATATTTTGTTGTATATTAGTCAGGGCACCATTTACATCCATATTGTACTAAAAAAATCACTTCTCCATTTTTGATGAAAATAGGGGTGCATTTTGTATCACTTCAATAGAATAATTTTTTCATTTTCCCCATTATCTTATTAAAAAAAATCTAAAAATGCCTAGAAACTCCTACAATAGAGTATTTCTATGATTTAACCTATATTGAGCTAAATTATCAAAATTTCCTTGCCTAATGTAACAAAAAAAAAATGAGAAATTTATTATAATACACCAAATATTTGAAATATTAAACATTTTACTTCAAGGGCGTATTTGTTTTGCAAAAACTTTTAGATAGTGAGAGGCCCAAGTTCCACCAATCCTTCTCGCATATTTGTTGTACCCCTATAAAAGCTGCTAGATAGAATTAGCTCTACAACATCAAAATAAATATCTGGTAGCTCGCCTTCCACAATGAAACATACCATGAAACATGCCCATGGTGTATTTTGATAAATTCCAAAACCAATTTTGATGTGTCATTGGATGGGGCTCTTTAAAATGTGGTCAAAAGAAAGTTGGGTAATTTGAAATTACATAAAAGCAATGGGTAAGATGTTACATAGCTCAAATTATGTGTAGTATGATAACTTTATCAAAATACACATTCTGAATTTATTACTCAAAACAAGCTAGGAGCAGGAGCAGTTCATCCTTTCACTAGGCCACTTAAGCCTTGCAAAATGACACGAATACTTCTAAATTCCAAACTTATAATTAGAGTTTACATGAAAAATGGTTAGGTTTGATTCACCATACAAGTACAGTATCGATGGGATTTGCCTAGTTTCATTTAACTTGCGAGACGGTTTCAATGAGGGAAAATTGTTTCATGCGGGCTGGATCGCATTTCTACAATATGCACTCCAAAAGTATAAAGCATCTATCTTAAAGATAAATGCAAATAAGTTGTCCATCTAAAAATAAGTGTAACCAACAGTCCAAATGTTTTCTTAATATAATTATTATATCTAGTTTTTAATTTTCTTTTCATATTCATGATCTCCATGGTAAAGATTATATATTCTTTAAAACTTAGGATTAAATTATATTTAAAAATAAATTTATTGTCAAGCCTGTATTTCTACAATATGCTGGCTGGCCGCATAAAAATTGCGTCCTTCAATGAGTCGCTAACTAATCTGTTTATATGAGTTCTCTATTTGAAATCCATCTTAGTAATGGATTTTAAATCTGATAATTTTCGAGGTTGACAGTCTATGCTATGATAAACATGAGTGTAAAAAAAGTAATAATAATATTATGTAATTTATTCTTTTTAGATCATTAATTTGAAGGTGGTGGTGGGACCATCACTTTTTAACATAGATGGATTAGATTTATTAGGGGATACACATGTAGATATGCATCCTCTAACGCATGCTAAACTTTCCAAACAAGTTGGGAGTGGTTTAGTTTTTCCTTACTCAAGCTGAAGTGTATCTACATGTGCGTCCCCTGAAGAAACTAGCATCCACCTCAAAGAAGGATGCTGAAAAGGTGGTGGTCCATCCACCACCTAAGAATTAACGGTCTAAAATAATAAATCACAAAATATTATAGTAAAAAATTATATTTTATGTTTGTTCATTTTACATTTCATCATGATTGCCAATCCCTAAAAATTTAGTTTAAAATGCATAACCAAGATGTGTATTTGAGACAGAGGACTCATAAATAGATGCGTCAGCCCACTCATAAAAACCTTGTTCCCAACTTGTTCTTGATTTTAAATCCCAAATACAATTTTAGATGCATTATAGCAAACAAGTAAAGTACACTTTGACTTCTTAAATGCAAACATTTTCTAATAAGGGTACCGTTTATATAGAGTCGTGGCTCTAAACAATCAAAGTAAACTGCACCTTGAAACAGTAAAAATATGGTTCCAATTTTTGAAACCTTTGTCATAGGCTTAAAATATGTTTCTATCTTTAATTATAAAGCTTCAAAAATAGTATAGATCGAACAAATCTACAAAAAAATCAAAATCTTGAAAATTAACCGTCCAAAAATACATTACAATATACACTGTTTTTAAAATTTGAAATTCTTTTTTTTTCTCACGTCCATGCATATTGACACTGAGATAATCAATTTGAGGATATTTGGGCTTAAAAATAACCTCTTAAAGTGAAATTTTTGAAATGGGTTCTAATTTGATTGTTTAAAGCCTCGGCTCTATATAAACTTTTCGCCTTTTCTATTCTACCAAATCATCCGTTGGGTTCTATACGTTCATCCTTGGATTCCCCCCCTCCGTACGCTCCACAGCTCATTTCTTCCCTTCTCCAGACCAGTTTTGTCTTTTGTTTTTTGTTTCTCTCTCTGTGGTTATCTGTTCATCATGTCACTCTCCACCAAAAATCACACTTTTCTTCAATCCTAAGCTTCCCAAACTCTCCTGCAGCTGCCCTCCTCTCTATTTTGGATGCTTTTCTCTATCACCAACCTCGTCACAATGGATGAATGGATGTAGATGACCTGTTCACCCCAAATGGAGGACTGTGCAGAGGCTTTTGCAAGGGCCACTGCGGGTTCCTGATACAGTCATGGTCGCCTTATCTGTATTGCCACTTCTGGTGGCAATGTCAACATTAACCAGTTTCTGTCGCAGTGAAACCACCCAATTTGACTTGGCCTCTCTTACTCTCTCCAGTCTCAAGCTCTTAGGGGACTCCCATTTCAAGAATGGCACGATCGGCCTGAGCCGTGAGCTTTCTGTCCCCAATTCGAGCGCAGGCCGTGCTCTCTATGTCAAACCGGTGCGTCTCATGGATGAGAGTGGCCAAATTCCGGCCTCGTTCTCCACATTCTTTACTTTCTCTGTCACCAATGTCAACCCTGCTTCCATAGGTGCAGGCCTCACCTTTCTCCTCGTGCCTGATGACCAAACCATTGGAGATTCAGGCCCTTACCTAGGCCTCCTCAATGTAACTGCTCCTTCTTCCTCTGTAGTCGCCATAGAATTCGACACTCTCATGGATGTCCAGTTCATGGATATCAATGGCAACCATGTGGGTCTTGATCTCAACAGCATGGCCTCCTTCAAGGTCTCAGACCTGGGGGACATCAACCTAGATCTGAAGAGTGGGAACCTCATCAATGCCTGGATCGATTACAATGGCGAGAGCAGAGTGATGACCATTAGCGTCTCTTACTCGAACCAGAGGCCCTTAACTCCCCTGATGTATGTTGAGGTTGACCTAGCGCCCTACCTCCATGAGTTCATGTATGTGGGGTTCTCTGCCTCCACACAGGGCAGCACAGAGGTCCACACCATCGCGTGGTGGACCTTCTCTGCATCCACATCTCCATCTCCATCTCCGCCTCAGCAAATGCAGCAGCAGCAACAACCCCCTTCTTCAGCTCCGGTTCCTTCTGGTTTAGTCACAGTTGGAACCACCCCTTCACCGCCATCACCAAGGACCTCATCATCTTGTCACAACCAGCTCTGCAACCGTAAGCCAGCTGCAGTTGCAGGTGTTGTAACAGCGGGGGCATTCTTTCTGGCGTTCGTGACGGGTCTCCTCATATGGGGTGTCCGCTTGCGGAAGAGGCCCCCTAAACTTCTCCAAGACGAGGGGTCCAACGATTCGGACATGGACATTGTGGTTGAGGCTCCAAAGAAATTTTCATATGCAGAGCTGAGGGCCGCGACCAATGCATTCGACCCCACCAGGGTCATAGGCCACGGTGCGTTCGGCACAGTGTACAGGGGTGTGCTCCCCAGTATTGGTGTGGCGGTGGCCGTGAAGCGGTGCAGCCACGAGGGCAGTCAAGGGAAAGCCGAGTTTTTGTCGGAGCTGTCAATTGTTGGGTCACTGAGGCACCGGAACCTAGTGAGACTCCAAGGGTGGTGCAGTGAGGGCGGAGAGATCCTCCTTGTGTATGATTACATGCCCAATGGCAGTCTCGACAAGGCCCTCTTCAACCCTCACCATTACCATTTGAACTCCTCCGCTTCTCTGCCATGGGCCCACCGGCGCAAAATCCTGGTCGGTGTGGCGTCAGCCCTGTCCTACCTGCACGAGGAGTGCGAGAACCAGGTGATCCACAGGGACGTTAAGGCGAGCAACATAATGCTGGATGAAGGGTTCAACGCAAAGCTCGGGGACTTCGGTTTGGCAAGGCAGACACAGCATGACAAGACCCCAAACCCTACTGTTACTGCAGGAACAATGGGTTACCTGGCGCCCGAGTACTTGCTCTCCGGTTGTGCCACTGATAAGAGTGATGTGTTCAGTTACGGGGCTGTGGTTCTAGAGGTTGCCTGTGGTCGGAGACCCATCGACAAAGAGGGTGGGATTGGTAATTTGGTGGAGTGGGTTTGGGGGCTGCACGGGCAAGGGCGGATAGTGGAGGCGGCCGACCCGAAATTGAGAGTAGAGTTCGAGGAAGAGGAGATGAGGAGAGTTTTGATGGTGGGCTTGGCGTGTTCGCACCCAGATCCCATTGGCAGGCCTGCCATGAGGAGTGTGGTGCAGATACTGAATGGGGAAGCGCCGCTGCCACCATTGCCGACCACAAGGCCAACTATGAGCTTTACCAACGAGCTGCTCATGAATTTACAGGACAGTGTTTCAGATTGTGACTTCAATGGCAGGATCAACCATTCTGATGAGTCATCTTCTGTGGGGTCTTTCTCATCGATGATACCTCCTCCACCCCTTCCAACATAATAAGCAGCATCTGGGATTTCTTTCTTTCTTTGATTCTTAAACTGCCATGGTTTGGGTGTTGGAGCTTCAATGGGGAAAGAATGAGGGGAAGGACGTGCAGGCTCAATTCATTCTTCTTTCCTTGAAGCAAAGAAGAGAGCCTTTCATTGTTTGGGGGCTTTTGGTGATGGTGAATTAACTGACCCCATGGATGTTTTTCTAATTAATCATTAATGAATATATTCTTTCTTTTACATATATACACTTAATTTAAAAAAGGGAGCATCCAGCATCAATCACTCTCTCTTTACTCCACCAAAAACCTGTTTGCTTCATCGACCCATCCCAAGCTCCCAACAAATGAAGCAGCAGCAGCAGGCCTTTTGCAAATAAAAAAGTAAAAGGCGTCCTCTCCCTCTGCTTTTCACATCTTAATTGGTCCATTCAGGAAAATTATTGATTGATTTCAAGGATAGGGTGGTGGTGTATGTAACAAATCAGGTAGGAGTGTGCTATATATCTGTGTTTTTTTTTTTCTTATTAATATTGTTTTGAACATTGCTCTATCTCTGTTTGTTACTAGGTTTGAGTAAGAACACAGCTTCGTACTCTATAGTAGTAGTACAGAGAATAGGGAGTGCTTCTATGTTTATTTGTAGGACAGCTTCTATGATGAGTCCACGTGGAAATGAGTCACCTCTTAAAAATTTTATTTTTGAGATGGATTTTTGTATTTAATTTTCAAGAAAATGTAATCTCTAACATGGAGACCATGAATATGAATATGACAAAATAAATAAATTTTGAAAACTAAAAATAAAGAAAACATATTCCTTGGGGACCACAAATGTAGAAACGCGGTCCCCACCGCATAAAATTCCTGTGGAATGCATCCCATCCACCCACCAATCCGTATTGTCTTGTTTGTGGGTCCTCTTTATAATACCCAGGCTCATTTTGTCAAAGGCAAGCCCTTTGCTTGCGTTGTAAGGCACGTAAAGAAGGTGATGGGTCACTTCTTTTTTGAAACTAGGGTCACTTCCCACCGTAGTTGTTGTCGCTTTGAGAAAGTACATTTATGTTATATACTGAGATTATTGAACGATCATGCGAATAATTGGGATAGGGCTCAAATCGCCTTTATTTGTGGTGGTCAAAAGTGGGAAGATGCCACATTGAATTCTATTCCCATCAAGTTCCCAAGAACATTAAAAACAAAATCATGCGAGGCCGAGAAAAGCACCTAAGCTTAGGGCCAGCAAATTCTAGATATTCTCCATAATTATCGATACAAAATCCCCTGGAAAGTAACTTTTTTGCATGACACTCATAACTATGGCAATTCCTTAATGTCAAGGTCAATGACCAATATGGAAATGCGTTTTGCACATTATTTAGGTTTGCTATTGAAATAGATAAGATACTTTGACTTAAAAGTTCAGTCTTAGTACCATTTACCAAAGTGTGCAAGTACTGAAATAAAAAAAAAATCTGAAGATTTGTTTGACCTACACCATTTTCGGAGCTTCCAATTTCATTAGTGGTGAAAATAGATTTTTTTGGCTACTATAAGGATTTGCGGCAATGAAATTGCGTCTTTTAATAGAATTAGAAATGGGTCTCATTTTGATTGTTTAAACTTACATCATATACAAACATCAGTGAGTGAAAGTATTTATCTATAAATCTGACACTCGCGATGAACAGATTTCTTATTATGATATGCTCTTCCTCCCATCCCTTGACAAGGTGTGCATGTGGGTGAAAAAACCCAGCAGCACGGTTCATCTCCAAGCAAGGCCTGATCACCATACAGCAGCTGGATTGTATAGATCACCTCCAATAACATCGTTCACCTTTGATCTAATTATGTGACAAACCATTTTATTGGAAATGGAAACTACTGCTCTTTGAAGAGCTCTCGACCAATAATCGTTCTTCTGATCTCACTGGTTCCTGCCCCTATCTCAAATAGTTTAGCGTCGCGCAAATAACGGCCTGTAGGGTATTCGTTTACATATCCATTTCCGCCCAGACACTGAATTGCCTGCAAAATTAAATAAACACAAAGCTTCCTTATGAAGAAAATCAGTGTGATTAGTATCGATTGAAACAAGCAAGAGTGAACAATATTGAATCCGATTATTGGAAGGGATAGCATAGAGGAATCCCTGCAACGTACAAAAAGCATGTTGCTTTAGCATAATCCATAAAAAAAAAAGCAGCATGCCATGATGGTGCACTGCATAAACAGTATGTTGCACCTAGCACCAACTGTCCATTGTCAACAATGGACTGCTCCTCCACTCAAGCCTGCAAATTTCAGCTTGAGTAGATGAACCTAATTGAGACTGCATGCAGCATGCATAGGTTTTATAACAGTACTGAGTACCGACCATTTGCTGCTAAACTAGATATTGCCATATAAAGCACTATTTGAAGCTAACAGCTGCATTCATTACAGAAAACATCACAACAGAATGGCCATTCCATGGTAATATATTATACAGTTTCAAAACTTCAAAAAAAATGTTGCTTGTATCACAGTATACAATCCCAATAGATAGTTCAGATTTATGTTGCATGTATCACAGTAAACAATCCCAATAGATGGCTCAGATTAGTGAAGTATGCAAAGTCATGCAAAGTCTGCCATAAATTTGAACAAGTTCAATAAGTGAGCAGGAAATAAGAATCACCCAAGCGGATGCCTGACTCTTGCAGATTAAAAGAAATGAACAACGTAAAATTCTTTAGTACTGACAGTTGCGTCCACTATAGCAACAATTACAATAAAATGGCCATTAGTTGGTAATGTATCATAACAGTTCCAAAACCTTGCAGCATTTTGTTTGTATGCTGCATGTATTAGAGTATACAATCCGAATAGACAGTTCAGATTAGTGAAGTATAAAAAGCTGCCACAAATCTGAACAAATTCAATAAGTATGCAGGAAACAAGAATCGCCTGAGTAGATGCTTGAACAATGCAGATTGAAAAAAATGAGCAAAGTAAATTCTTCTAGAATAGATTGCAGCATTACTTTGCAACACACAATGGTGGTCCAATTGCTGCACAAAAATTGCACATCATAAGCTTGACCTAGCTATTATATTTTTCCTATAGGTCATGGCTCAGTTGCTTCATGGCGGTTTAGGAAGCAGCAAGAGTTTAAATATGACACAGAAATATTGCATCACTCTTCTTTATTGAAGGAATTTGTGGTGCCAAGGAGAGAAGTCCACACACGATTGTAATACTAAACAAGAGGTGCACTCATGACAAAATGGGGTATTAAGAAGTTCCCATAAATTGGAGACACAGGATTTTAGCATAAGGTCCCGACCTCAGTAGTAGTTGAATGTTTCATACACTACAGTTTCTTCTAAATTTTTACTCGTAATTTATGTGGCTTTAGTTACCACTTCAAGACCAAAGGAAATCAAGAAAAGGACTTGATGTAAGGAAATTTGAGAAACAATAAAATCAACAAGGAACAATCTGAACACAAGCACAAGTTAAAGAAACCTATAGTTTCTTCTCCATATGCCAAGCTAGGGTTCCAAAAGCCTAAGCTTTTTTTTCTCTTTCAATTATGAAAACCATGTGGAATGACTCTCTTGAGGCCCTACCACCTCTTCTATATTATAATTTAGTATTCAAGGACATTAAATGTCCATATAACAATTAAAATGACCCAAAAAGTCCCAACTTGAATAAAAAATCCAAAAGGACAATTTTACACCGGTGAACCAAAAAGCACCCATGAATAGGAACTATGAACAATAGCCCCATGAATAATAATTAGAGAATAATAAATTAAAATAAATAGAATAACCCTGGAATCCCTAAAAAACTTCAAAACCCTAAAACTAAAATTGAAGTAAACGTCTCTGAAATTAAACAAAAATTAAGAATTAGAATAATTTTGTCCTACCCCTAGTTGGAGAAAACTCGTCCTCAAGTTTTGAAGTGTGCTAAGAAGAATTTACCATCAAAACCACATTCTTTCAACTTTTTCTTATTTGTTGGTTCAAATATTATTTGTGGTAAGAAGAAATCCCCAAGAAATGATCCCAGTATGTATAGGAAGGAACTGATACAAACTTATTAAATTTGGTTATCTCTGAACTTGCATTGAAAATTGTGCAGAAAATTTCAAACTCAATTTTTTGTCCTTTAGAGGCTTTCTGGACATTTATTTTATTGCTCATTAATACCAGGGCTTGCGATTTATTAGTCAACAATACTTATGCCTATTATAATTCCAATGCCCTAAATCTCTTGAATGCTCCACCTCTTTGATATCCTTGAGATCTTCATCTTTTACTTCGTCATTGATCAGTTCAACCACGAAATCGTGAATCAAAAATTGGTGACAGATCTCAATCTACAACCTGTTGATTTTCGATACAAAATGCATCAAAATCAAGAATGTCCTTCGAATAAAAAACCCTAGAGTGATATTCCCCACATCTAGGTCTTCTATCACTTTCCTCTTCACTCGATTCTTCACAAGGAGAACGGAGAAAAGGGTGGTACTCGACATCTTCTTGGGCAGAAAGATGTCTTGCCCATGAATGATGCTCGTAAACTGCTCCGTGAGCTATTGAACTTGCCCTTTAAATTCCTCGATTTCATATCTAGGATCACGAAGTGGATCTACAAAAATCCCCTTCCACGACCTATTCTCGTTGTCGTAGGTTTATCGAAATCACAAACCTTAGGCAGATAATCAATAAAAACTCGTTGATGACAGCAAGAACTAGACTAGTTTGACAAAACTTGGCCCAAAATCAGTAAACACTATGCTTGGTTGTAGTTTCCCCGCTTTGTTGTTGAAGAAAACCCTAGCTTTGATGTGTGGGAATTTGAGAAACAGTAAAATCAGCAAGGAATAAACCAAACACAAGCACAAGTTAAAGAGACCTATGATTTCGTCTCTAACCCCAAGCTAGGGTTCTAAAAACCTAAGTTTTTCTTTCTCTTTCAGTTATGAAAATCATGTGGAATGACCCCCTCAAGGAATAAACCAAACACAAGCACAAGTTAAAGAGACCTATGATTTCGTCTCTAACCCCAAGCTAGGGTTCTAAAAACCTAAGTTTTTCTTTCTCTTTCAGTTATGAAAATCATGTGGAATGACCCCCTCAAGGCCCTACCAACTCTAATGCATAATAATTTACTATTTATCATCATCATCATCCGAACTTTTTGCCAACTATTTGGGTCAACTACACAAATCCTGGTCCGTCATTCTTCTCTATTAAGGGATAAGTCGCCATATATTTTCTCACTATTTCCAACCATGTCGTTTTGGGCCTACATCATGCCCTTTCTCAACCTTCCACGTCAACCACTCGCACTTCCTAAGAGGTGTTGTACTGGGTGTGCGATGCACATGGTTACTCCACCAAAGTCTATTTTTCTCATCTTATCACCTATTGGAGCCACACCTAAGTCATCCCAAAAGTATTTATTTCGCATTCTATCCTTTCTTGTCTTGCCACATCTCAACATCCTTATCTCAACTACACGCATCCTATAATTCTTGACTGCCCAACATTCCACCCCATAAAACAAAGCTAATCTCACAACTGTCCAATAGAACTTCCCCTTCAGCTTCATTGGCCTCCTCACCCAACCAGTTTTAATTCCATGTACTACATCCTCCTCAAATCTCTTCATTTCGTGATTATCGGCCCAAGATATTGCAAACGCACTCTTTTTAGTATTTCGTAGCCGTCCATCTTAACTACTTCCTCGTTTCTACTCCTATTACTATTAAACGTGCATTCCATACACTCTATCTTAGTCCAGCTAATTTTAAAACCTTTAGATTCTAGAGCATCCCTCCAAAGTTCTAACTTTGTGTTGATGCCACTTCGGGTCTCATCGATCAAAACTATTTCGTCCATGAATGACATACCCTATGGTACCTCATCTTGTAAGTGCCTAAGTCATCCATAAATAAGACATAGGTATGGGCTCAACACTGACCTCTGATGTAGACTTATTGTCACTGAAAATACACTCGTTTCTCCATTAGTTTTTTACATACGAGTTAGTGCTCCCTCAAATATATCTCTCACCTAGTCGATATAATATCTGGAAGCTCCTTTTTTTTCCAACACCCACCAAGTTAAATCTCGAGGTACTCTATCATAAGCTTTCTCTAAATCAATAAAGACCATGTGGAGGTATTTTTCGTTCGCCCTGAACTTCTCAATCGCCTCAATTATTGACTTCACTAGCCTAAAATTGAATTGGTTTTCTGACATTAAATGTCCATACAATGATTAAAATGACTTAAAAAGTCCAAACTTAAACATAAAATTTGTAAGAACAAGTTTATCCCTATGAACAGTACCGGTGACATAGTACCCACAAACACTACGTCGTGAATAGTAACTAGTGAATAGTAAATAAAAAATAAAAAGAAAAAACCCTCAAATCCCTAAAACAACTTTGAAACCATAAAACTAAAATTGAAATATACATTTTTTGAGATTAAACAAAAATTAAAAATTGGAATAATTTTGTCTTAATGACGGCCTATGGAAAGCTGAATTCCTAGTTCAAGAATGAATGAAATCAAAGGGAAAATACTCCAGCAAATTGAAGGTAATAATGAGTTCCTTGGGTAAAGCAAACGAAAATAAAGAGAGATTACTAACAAGAATCATAAGAGATGGTGATAAGCTTCTTTCAAGACTGAAGGGAATCTGCTTGATTTGAAAGAGCCAGAGACATCACTACTCCTTGAGGGAGGCAGTAGACATCAGCACTCCATTCTTATATAGGGAACTTGAAGAAGCTTGTTGCAACAATTAGGAGGTTTTGTACTTGAAGAAAACCTTGTGTAAGTCAAACAATTTGATATCTAGTCTTAAACAAGCATTAAAACAAGGACCCAATTTCTATGCGGCCAAGCCTGGATATGTAGAAATGTGGGCCTCTTAATGAATCTATTTTTGAGATGGATTTTAAGACTTAATTTTTAAGGACATGCAATCTCTAACATGGAGAATATGAATATGAAAAAATAAATAAATTTTAAAAACTGAAAAAAAATTCTAGTAGGAAAACATTTGGATTGTTAGTTCCATTGTTTTTAGATGGAACACCTACTTGCATCCATCTTTAAGATGGATACTTTACCGTATATGTCGAAATGCGGTCCAGCCCGCATGAAACAATTTTCCTTAAAACAATGCTAAATTTGCTTTGTTAGGGTTTTTTGGCCATTTAAAGGCCTTACGAGAGCATGTACTAAAACATTATAATGAAATGTTGGCTCCAGTGGGAGTGTGGCCCACTTTGGACTATGAGGCACGGCTAGTGCCATGACTCATCTGATCTTCGATTGGCTATGGCTCATAGGTGATGTTTAAAACCCGTAGTCGTGGGCATTGTGTAAGCACAACAGATGAGAGTTTTGACGTAGGGTTATCCCTAGATGATGTCGAAGTTGTGTCCAGGGCAGTTAGGCCAAGGGACTCGATGAGACCTCTATGTGTGATGGATGGCCGGAGAGGATAAGGGCCTATATCTTCATCATTACCATCACACGGTATGTACACACTAGATAGCCTTTCAGGAAGCGGCCCTTTTGGAATAGCGTGTATGATGTGGACATGTGCGGAAGAGATTCTCTGCAACATTGAATTGTGTTCGAAGGACCTATAAAGCATAGTGATGAAATAGGGCCTGGACTTGTCCTTAGGGAAGGACCTGTAATCCATGGACTAGGATCGTGTCTCCTTCACTTATTGGCTGACTTTGATAGTCCAATCTGAACCCCTACAATGGGCTGTGGGGTTATGGGAACTCTTGGGCTAGTTTGAGAAGGTGCAATGAGATACGGTCTCTTGAAAGGACAGAGTCCTTAATATATTTGTTGTAATCATAACTCACTTTGCAAAATAGCAAGATGATCTTGTTGCAAAAATATGGCGTAGTTGACACACATAGCCTCAAGACCAAAAAGAAAATAAAACCTTGATTCTAGCTGTAAAGCAGTGGATATCCTAGGATCTCATGCCATACTATGATACCATGATAAGGTTCAGGGACAAGACAGAAAAGGAGCACTCAACCACAATGATTAGGTAAAATATAGTTATCTATGTTTAAATAGTAAGATACCATACAAATTTGGTATAGATTGAGTTTTCAGGAATGTTAAGATTATTGGTCCATGTTCCTCATCGTAACATGCATCATAGGAGGTTTCCTTAATAAGTATAGCCCCATAATATTTACTACACTTATGAATAAACTAGACGTATGTATATGTGTAAGGCAGAGAAAAGCTTTAAATGTCCGAAGTGTTTTTTCGTCACACATCTCTTATAACACAAGCTAGCGACAAGTCACAACCAATAAGAAGTTTGCTATAGAAGCAAGCTTTTTAAAAGACAAATTGTCTAGCACTTCAAAGCTAAAATCCACCTAAATTGTAAAAAGGAAGGATACAAAAACAAAAGTTTGCGTGCAAAGAAGATTATAACACCTAATTATTCACCTGTAGAGCGATCTGGGTTGCATTTTCAGCTGCGAAGAGTATCACTCCTGCACAGTCCTGAAAGGTAATGATAATGTCAACCCATTACAAATTCAAGAAATCATCCAATAGAAAAAGATTACTAGTATAAGTAATTTTCTCTTCTTACGATCAGTTAGTAAAATGCATATGTTGCTGCACTATTGTTCTATTTACTCAAACATGATTATCTTCATTATGGAAATCAGTTAGTAAAATGCAAATGTTGCTGCACTATTGTTCTATTTACTCAAACATGATTATCTTCATTATGGAAGTTCATTTAAAAGATAAGAAAATGAAGTTCCATCAATAACATTTTCTCCAATATTGTTAATAACCTCAACAGTTTAGCAGACAAGAAAACATGAGTTCAAGAGATATTATAAATTCAAATAAAAAAATTCGTTCTGTGCCGAGCCAATGCAATACTTGATGCGTCATTCATGCATAACTCCATTTGTTTCCAGACCTTGGGACATGCCAGATATGTGGGTAATAGTTTTAACATAAAACATAACAAAACAATATAACATATATTCAAGGAAAAAACCCACAATTATATTTTATAGATGTCAGGGCCAAATATATTGGAAACAACTATGAAGATCAAGCGTAGTTTATTAAAATTAAACCAGATTAGAGCAATGGACGTACAAGTTATTTTAGGGTACAAAGTTACCCCCTTGGGGATATAGATGCTCCTCTCAAGAGAGGGATTACCTCTAAGCTCACAAAAATCTCAGAAATGTTGTAATGATAGTCGAAACAAATAATTCAGGTTTCATTGCTTTGCATCTTCAAATGCCTCTCCCATCATGAAGGTAACCCAACTAGCTGCCTACTCTTAGAAGGAAGGTCCATGGTTATTAAGGTTGGGGTTAGGTTGCAGCTCAATGGGGTTAACTCCTCATCATCATAAAAGCCTTGTAAAGAAGACCTAAATTCTGTCCTCGTAGAAGGGGGATTTCCATAGATCCACTTAGTGATCCCATAGATGATAGAAAATTGCGTTTCGAGTATCTTCCATGATTTTCAATGGGAGTTCACTAATAGCCGAAATTGATAAATTTGCATCGATTCCTCAATATGCATGTCAGGATCCGTTTTTTGAAGAATTATTTTCAGCACGAATATTCTTTGAGCCAACAAAGAAGAAGAAAGTTGAAGGAGGTGGTTTTGATGCTGAATTCATCTTAACACACTTCAAAACTCGAGGACAAGTTTTCTCCAACTAGGGAAGAATGATGGAGGGCAAAATTATATTTATTTTTAATTTCTATTCAATTTCTCTGTTCAGATAAGTTCACTATAATTGTATTTTATAATATTATCATTACAAATGGTGGTGACCAAAGTGGTCACACCAAACAAGCCCAAAAAGGGACAAAAAAGAAAGGCCACAAGGCAAGAGATCAAAGCAAACTAAAAGCGGAAAAGCCTTAGAGGAAGAACTAAGGAGAGCCCCTTTGGCCAAGAAGTCAGCTTCAGAATTGGCTTCTCTGAAAGCATGGCGCCAAGAGATCTAGTAGTTGCTTGACAAATACATTATCTCTTCAAAAATGTTGTCGAGGCGCCAAGGCCATAGAGAGCAGTTGGATGCCCAGAGTATGATGTTTTTGGCATCCCCTTCCACCACTATGTTGTGACTCCAAGTGTGATCAAACATCTGAAGGCCCTCCAAAAGGGCCAGGCCTCTGCAAGAGTGAAGTCCCCAAAACCAATAGGTAGTGAATAGGTAATGCCATCACTAGAGAGAAAGCAACCCCCAATTCCTGAAGGACCAGGGTTACTGACTGAGCAACCATCGAAGTTAAGTTTCACCACTCCCGCTACGGGTGGTCTCCACCACGATGGCCTCAAAGTTAAAAGGTTTGATAAAAGCCACAAGTTGGACCAATTGCTATAGAAGTCAAAGGAGGAAGAAGAAAACTAGAAGAGAGAGTGATTGGAGGCCCAAAAGACTACTACGTTCTTGATTTTCTCCAACAACTGATTTCGACTGTTAACCTTGCACCACAAAAAATTATGTGAGTTCTCTTAGTCCACAGCACCCAAATGGTAGCTGAGAGAGCAACTTTCCAAAGAAAGCCTGCATGCCTTAGGCCAAGGGGTAGAGAGACACGCTTGAAACAAATGAGGAATGTCGTATGGGGTTACCCATACCTAGTCGAATAAGCTCAAGGTAGACCTCCAAATTGCTGGGGAGAAGACACAGTGGAGGAGGAGTTGCGACTTCTCTTCCATCAACACAGTTTGCATCTGTTTGGGAGTTGCACTCCTCTTCTTTGGAGCTCGTCCACAGTGAACAATCTCTCATGCAAGGCAATCCAACAGAATACCTGTACTCTAGCAAGAATAAAAGGGTTCCAGGCCTTGGAGGCAACGGCCTGAAGAGGGCCCGAGGAGTTGGGAGGGGCAGATAAGGTGTCAAAAAAGGAAGCCACTGAGAAATTACCTGAGGCCGAGGGTGTCCAAACAATCCTGTCCTCCCAGAGGATGGAAGGAAAACCAAGTATAAGCATTCTGCCAAAGAAGTAAGGGCTTGGAGCTCGTGGTCTAAGATGGGTCTCTTGAACAAAGGCCTCCAAGTTCTGAGGGCTCCCGAGAGACTAAAGTTCTCGACTAGAGGACTGACCATCTTGGGCTAGATGGAAAAGAGTGGGAAACTGATCCCTAAGGGGGTATGGCCTATCAAGGTATCAAGAGGATTATTCATGAGTATTGTTCATAGGGGTAAAACTATCATTACAAAATTTAAGTTATGATATGTAGGTCATTTTAATCATTGTATGGACATATAATGCCTTTGAACATTGAATTATAATATATAAATGGTATGTGGGGCCTCTCCTAATACGGTAACCTCTTTTGATAAAGAGGTCAAGTACGTCCTAGCGGACCACACGAGTAGCAGCAGAGGTGTAACCAAGCACAAAAAGACTTAGTGAAAGAGGGACAATTCCACATGATTTTTAGGAATTGAAAGAGAGAAAAGCTTAGGATTTGAAACACTAGCTTGGGGTATGAAGAAGGAACCCTAGGTTTCTTCGAATTATGCTTGTGTTTGGCTTTGTTTCTTGCTAATTTTATTGTTTCCTTCAATTTTCAAGGGTCCCCCACCTTTGGATTCTATCACTTGTGAGTAGCCTCTCTTTGTATGCTGACCAAGTGAATCAAGAGGCCTAGGGTGGATTGGGCTTCTGCATATATCTTTTAAGACCTAATTTCCATTTTCATGCTCTTTGATCAACTAAGAGACACTCTTGAGAGAGAATTATCCACCTTGAGAGGGAATCTAACTGATTCCTTCAAGCCCATCATTGCGTGATACTCTATGAGAGTGATCTTTGATGATGGATGACGTGCAATGAATGCCCCTACAAGCACATGAAATTCACCAAGTCTTGTTGAACTTTTCAAGTCACATACATCTTATCTTAGCAATGCATGATACTGACCCAATTAAAGATGACTTGGGGCAAACCCAAGTCCTCTGTCCAAGTTTAAAAATTTGCCTTGACACCAAACCAAAATTCAACTAAATTTCTGCAGACATAAAGCTTTTTAAAGGAGAGTAATAAAATCCTCATTGTTTCTTATGATAGCAAATAAAGTTTCTCTATCATGAAAGGAATTTTGTCCACTTCTGTAACACATATAATAATTATTGTGATTAACCGAACATGTGAAAAGTGGATGCTTAAAGAAAACTTATCAGCCTTGGTTAATTTCAAATATGTGGTTCCACTTTTGTTCAAATATGAAATTTGGACTCACAAGATTTAAAGATTTCGGTTTCTAATGTGCCAAGAAAATTTCACCAAGGCTTTGATAACACGTTCTTTGCATTCGAGTGTATGATTTAGTTGTCATATGAAATGAGCATGAGGGGCTTCGATACAAGTCACTATTGAAGCAGAACGACCAATGTTAGTAAAGGAATGCACACTACTATATTGTCCATATCTAAGTTACCGAGATGTGGCAATATGGGTGGCAATATGCATGGCAATAACGCAATCCCACGCTCTCAAGTGGGACCATGGTCCATCTGCAATCCCATGTCAAGGAAACTTGATCCCCAACCAATAGGAGTCAAAACGTCAGCAGACCCATATTGTTTATAGTTTTAAAGGAAAAGAAGAAACACTTGCAAAATCCATTAAAAAAAGATAGCAATAGTTACATATTTACAGGGAAAAAAACCAACAATTGCATATTGATAAAAAAGACAAGAATAATTGTTCTATCCATGTTCAATAAATTTTACAATTCATAAATTTTAAAGTAAACGAAATTCTTAACTCCACATCAATCACAAAAAAAAAAAGTTTTAAATCTAATGCTCTCAAATTCAAATTTAATGTAGGGCATGGTGGGTACAGCATTTGTCAAAAATGATTGTGGTATTATGATCCATTATCTTTTAGAATGTATATAAAAGAGAGAATGATTTCTTTATCAATTTTCTTTATCTCTTTCTCTCTATATGTCTATATATCTTTGCTCGATCTATCTCATGTTTAAATATTCCTTTTTTTTCTTCAATTGAAATGAATGGGAATATGTGAAGAAAAAGACAAGACTTGTACATGATTTCACCGAAATCATATATTTCTTTATTTATATGAGAAGATAAGCAAATAAATGTGAATTACATGATTTCACCAAAATCATATCTTTCTTTATTTATGTGAGAAGATAAGCAAATAAATGAGAATTATTCCGCTCAAATTTCATTTAGATTTATTTTTAAGTATAATTAACAATATTTCAAATATACCAATTTTGCATCTAAGTATTTTTCAAACTGTGATTACTCTTTTTTTTTTTTATATTTCTCTATTTGTACAGCCACCTTATGGTACTCCCAAACTAGGTAACTCCTAGCACACTTTCTTCCTCCTATAACTACTATGGTCCTCATATATAATTATTGCCAAGCACCTGAAAGGGAAAAAAGGAACTTAGGACTATGGAACACCATGGAGTTGACATTCATAAAAAGCTGTGAACAACTATAATAGTGACCAAGAAACTACCCTAAACTTTCAAATCACAAGAAAGAAGACCGTAATGCTCATTGAGGAAATATTTTCCATTTGGAAGTTAATTGCATCCTATACTACATAAATAGCCCACTATTCGTTCATATTTGATTTCCCCCGCATGCCTCAAACAGAAACTAAAGTCAGAAGGAAGTTATAAAGGCCCCCCACATGATCCCAATGGGATATGGAAGTAACATACTAAACCAACTAATCTACAAAACATCTGGCTTCCTAATTGCAGTCCACATTCTGTAGTCCATAAACCACCCAAAAGATAGTGAACACTTGCTTGTTGCACCACACTTCAATAGTGCAACTGCAGCCATGTTGCTCTGGATATGAGCTGACACCGCAAGTTGCAACCATAGTTACCAAGATTGGGAGTGAGATCAGAAGCCGAATCGGGATCGGACCGTGGGATTGAGAAATGCATGAACATCTGTGGGGTGGTGATCGAGATCCGTACAGCATGGTTTAAAAGAATCGTGATCCCAATATTAAAGGAGTCCGACCCAAACTTTCTAGGATCGAATGATAAAGTATATTGGATCAAGGTCTGTATAGTTTAGAATCGAGGCTCCCCACAAGCACCCAATGAGGGCACTCTAGCTCGAGAACAAAGTCAGCTAAATGACATGATTAATACTCTTTCTGAATTCAAAAACCAAAGAATCATTAAGTACAAATAATCCCGTTTTTTTTAATTTTTTGTTATCGTTGGAATATGTTTCATAATTGAGAGGTGAAATTGAAAATCCAAAATGAGGATCCAAATTACAGTCCTCTTGTATGAAAGAAGGTCGAGTGTTTGATGAAATGTGTTGCCCTTGTTTTCCCTTGTTTTGGTCCTTTCACTTACATGTGATTGGGCATGCAACTGGCCAAATTCCCTTTAGATTCAGAGGAAAAAAAGGGTCTAAAGGCAAAGAAAAGGTCAACCTGCAAAGGTCTCTATAATGGTGGACATGGTCAACCAGAGAGGATTTATGGCAAAAGATAAATTGCATAAACCTTATAGAGCTTCCAGTAAGTGAAATAAAAAGGTTTCAGGGGACAAAATGGCGAAGCTTTAGCTTTGCAACTGCTCTCCTTCATCTACAGGTTCCATACCTAATATGGCAGCAGCTTGTAAGTTATGCTATTTATTTTCGTGAATTACAAGTTCAAAGTTCAGAGTTCAACTTTCAAACCCTGGCTGCCGTTGTGGGCATTGGGACTGTTTCTCAACTAGTTGAGCTCAAATAAAAAACCAACTCAGATTTTAGAATTTTTAGGACCACAACACTACCAAAGAAGTTGCAAAGCATTGCCAACCAATTGCTAAGAGTTTGTGCTTTCAATGTTAATGAAGAAAATAACTGCATTGAATCTATTCCCATGATTGAGAACATAGGACTCATCCATCATTTCCTACTTCTTCCTCATCTTATTCTGGTGCTAATTTCCTCATTTGCAAGCCTCGAAGTTGTTTGTGTAAACAAACCAGCTCATAATGCTGCAAGTAATATACATAAAATAAGACTTAGTTGGTCATACTTCAGAAACTCCATTCGCAGTTGATGATTATCAAAAAATGCATCAGTATCATAACTATCACATAAAAGAGAAACTATAGGAATTTGAGACTAACAATTCAGAAAAGAACGGAATCAATAGAACAGAACAACTAATGAGGTCATAAAAGATTGTAATAACATTACACACTACCCAGTCACAGTTATGAATGCCAAACCAGAAATATATAGACAATACCATGCAATATGCACAAAGAAAGGTATCTTGAAGAAGTAGGAAACAAAAAAGAAATAGATTACGATGAAATACCTTTCGGTCAATTCTCCCTGAATCACAATCCCTTGCAATTGAATAAACAAATGATCTGCAAACAAGATATTTGGTAACCTCTAAAAGGAAACTTTCTTTATGAACCTCAAGGAAACCATGTCCAGGATAATCTCAATGTTTTGCAAAAAATTACCTTGATGACTGCAAGGATGTATACATGTCAGCCAACTTTCCCTGTATTTCAACAATAAACAGTAATAGTAAGTCAAAGAGAGCAGAACTCCAGGCAGGTGGGCTTCATATATTTGACAGCATGCTTATCCTTAAAAGTTAAGCCCAATGGATTAAAAGTGAATTCCATAAAATCGAATGCCAGTGGCAAACCTGTATAAACTGAAATTCACCAATAGGCTTGCCAAACTGCTCCCGTTGACGAACATACGGGATAACAATGTCAAGGCAAGCTTGCATGATACCAAGAGGGCCACCAGCTAGAACAAGCCTCTCTAAATCTAGACCTGACATCATGACATAAACACCTACAAAAAAACAATGTCACCATGAACAATGATATGGATCACTCTACCATAAAGTCCTACAGAAAAAACAATGTCACCATGAACAATGATATGGATCACTCTACAAAAACTTAAAAGCTAAACTTTTTAATGGCTATACCACTTACAGCTAGAACATGAAGTACAACAATGGACAAGAAACAGCTAACCAAGAAAAAGAAAAGGAAACCTCTACCATTTTTTCACTAGAAGTGTCAAGAATCAGGATCAAGAGATCCATGACACAAGATTATCAGCAAACGAAATATTAAAGAACTTACAAATTACGAAACCTTAGTCACATGATCTTCTGGCAAATATAGATAATCACGTACAAGTTTAATTTATTCGATAGTATGTTAGGTTTAGTGATTTCTGATGGTTGTTTTGATAAAAGAACCATTAGAGTTTTATATCACATTTACAAGTATCAAAGAATAATCAGTATCAGGAACAGTGTCATATCATGCTCACAAGAGCATACAAAAGGCTTGTTTTGATGACAATTGATATTATCAGAAGTAGGCTACCTCATCTCAAATTCTTATATTCTATATAACATTATCTTCTTAGTAGCTTGGTACATCTTATTGGGGTTATGTGGACATTTAAAGGACTTATGAGAGTATGTAAAACTATAACTATAATGATGTGATAACTCCAGTAGGAGTAGAATCCAGAGGGACCAAAGGATTATGGTTTGAAGGGACCAGAGGAGGTGGTTTTGATGTTGTGACACACCGGGGTTTCGACGAGCTAGGCCCGGGTTGATGTCTAAAACCTGTAGCCTTAGGCATAAGGCACAACCGATGGGGTTTCATGGTGGGGCCATCCCTTGATGAGGTCTGAGAGATGCCTGGGGTAGTTGGCCAGGGGACTGTTGAACCTTGCGTGCGGTGGTTGGTCGGAGAGCACAAGGGCCAAAATCCTCATCATTTCCGTCGCACAACATGTACACTGGATAGCTGTCCTCAAGGAGGAAGCTATAATTAGGGCTGTCAATAATTGAGGCCGGGCCTCAAGCTTCCAACTATTTTCGGGCCTAACCCAAGCTCGATCGGGGCTAAGAAAAAGAACGCTTTTATCCAGCCGAGCTTTTAACGAGTCAATCTAAAATGACCTGAAATCCTTCTTGCCCCTCCACCACTCACCCCTGGCTCGAAAGCCCTACCCCACTCCTCTCTCTCTCTCTCTCTCTCTCTCTCTCTCTCTCTCTCTCTCTCTCTCTCTCTCTCTCTCTCTCTCCTCTCCTCTCTCTCTCTCTCTCTCTCTCTCTCTCTACTCTACTACGTACGTACGTACGTACGTACGTACGTACGTTACGTTACGTTACGTTACGTTCGTC